TTTTTTTTTTTTGAGACAGAGTTTCTTGGTGTAGCCTTGACTGCCCTGGTCTCATTTTTTACATCAGGCTGGCCTCAAGCTCACAGTGATTCCCCTGCCTCTGCCTCCCTGAATGCTGGGATTGAAGGCACGTACCAGCAAGCTCAGCTTTGTTTGTTTCCTAAGGGAGGGTTGTTCTTTTATTTGATTTTCATCTCTCTTGATCCTTACAAGACACTGACTTTAAAAAGTTAGACATTATTAAAATTCCATCACCAACCATCACCCACCCAGAGACTCCTGGAGAGACTGAGATTCAGTATTTCTACCTATTCAGTAGCTTTCAGTACATCATAGGTATATAATGGTATATTCCTCAGATTTTCTTTTTTATAGGTATTACAAAATCCTGCTTTACAAGGAGTGTTTGTTCAGTAGCCGGGGAAACAATTGTTACCCTCCAAGCTATTATTAATTAGTTTTAGGTTGCTAGTATTGGTTAGTTGGCATTAGATGTACAGTTATCAGCAAAAAACAAGTTACATTGCGGGGGGGGGGGCGGCAAAAAAGAGTTTAGAAAAGTGTGATTTGAGGTTTATATGTCCAGATAAGTAGTTTTTTAAACATTGACTATAATGTTCTAAATGAAAAAAAAAATGATTTCAATGTAATAGATGTTTTCAAAATTGAAAAAAAAAAAAGAGAGAACTTTCAGAAGACATAGAAATGGCCCATTATCTTTTCTAACAGAGGTGAATATATGTAATGCTTGACCCCATTTTTAGCTTTAAAATCTTATTCTTTTCTTGTAAGATCATGCCGTTTTTCTCCAGAGCCATTTAATATCACCCAGCCAGCTTTATCTTCATCTCTATTTATATTTGGGCATTCAGCATCCTTTTAAAATACAAAAGGAGCACATTGATTATATCATAGCGGCGAACTTCCACAGCCTTTATAGGGCCTGATTTCTTCAGCTTCTTTTATGTGATGGCTAACCTTGTCATTTGGTTATACTGGGGTGGGGGCGCACAGAAGACTGGCATAACACACCTCTGGGTGTATTCATGAGGGTATTTCCAGAGAAAACTAGCAAAGAGGGAAAGGCCTTTGCTGACTCAGGCAGTCCCATCCCACAGGCTTCAGGGGCAAATAGGGCAAAGAAGGCATCCACTACTGCAAGCGCTGTTTCCCTCCCTGCCTCACCTTCACTTGTGAGGAGCTCTGTTCCACCAAGCCTCACCACCATGATGGACGAACCCAGCAGATGAAAGAGATAATTTCTCCCTCAGGTTGTTTCTGCCGTGTATCCTGTAACAGTCATAGGAGTCCAACCCACTTTGAGTTGGTTTTATTTCTTCATCTCCTGTTGTTAGAGTTCTTGCTTCAAAATTCATGAAATGGAACTGGAGAGGTAGCTCAGCAGTATAAAGCACTTGTTGCTTTTGCAGAAGACGCAGGTTCAAATCCCCACACTGACATGGCAGCTCACACCATCTGTAATTCCAGCCACATGGGATCTGATGAACTCTCTGACCTCTAAGTGTCCTGCCTACGTTGCACATGGTGCAGAAACATGCATGCAGGCAAAGCACCCAGCACACACACATTCTTTTAATTTAAAGACAGATAGTATAAAATTAAATACAAGTATTTGAAAATTTAAAAGTACATAAACATTAAACTATGCCAGAAACTAAAGCATCAGAAATGGTTCTGACTAAAGATGACTAGTCCAGTTCATTCCTGAAATCCTGACTTCCTCTAGCTGCTGTCTAAAGACTCTCATTGTAAATCTCAATAAAACCTTTACAAAGCAATTTGGTAGAAAAAAAAAATGTTTTAGCTAACTGCCTTCTTTAGTGATATGTGGAGAATTTAATTCCTCTTGCTGGTGCTCTCTCATCTTACAAGGAGTTTTGAATATTCAAATGTCTGCTTCTAGTTGGTTCCTCCAGCAGAACAGTTGGCTTCCATGAGGTGATCAGTTTAACTCCTGGGCACACTGACATGACAAAGAAGGAAATTGAAGAGAAGGGGACTATGTTAAGAATGAGAGTTTTGTTTTTTCTCATCTCTTAAGAATAATTTAAAACTGCCTCCATGAGCAATGTTCAATTGATTTGACATTGTGCAGCTTGCCCTACTGCAAACTGTGTTACACAACTAACAAAACCAAATTCCCAGTGATTAATCAAGCAGGAATTATAGCGGGTCTCTGATGAGAAGTTTGCAAAGACAGAATTATGGAATGGTATTTAGACAAGCTAGTATGCACTTATGAGAAATCCATTTGGAAAGTCAAGTTTAAAGGACCTGGTGAGAGAAATTAAGAAAGTGGAATATCCAGATTTTTTATTTTTTTTCTTTGCCTTGGAAACAGCTGCAGACACATCGGAGAGTGTATATTTCTGGTCTTGTTAGGAGAGTGATCTGGTTATCATCTCAGACATGGAGAAATGGCTATATAGATACCAGAGTTTGTAAGGGAATGGTAACTCTGAAGATTTGACAAAGATGAGTGATTTAATGGAATGCCAGAAAATGGCCTTACCTGAAACCACATCAGAACTGTGTGTTTTCAACACTGGAGCAGCATCTTCTTCCAACACATCTCTGTGCTTCATTCTGCATCATTTTTGAGTACCAACACTCCTCTAGAGACACAGAATAGAGACTATCTCTCCTAAGACAGAATTGCTTCTGCTTCTTTTCACAGGTGCCTTCAAACAAAGCAACTGTCAACCATTCCGTGTACTACCCTTTCCAGAATTTGAAAAATACTATCACAATCTTTCCATTTCCTTCCTCACATCTGTATAAGAATATAAAAACATAGTTATTATAATTTTGAGTACATAAAAGTATTGTCAATAATGAAGAATGAAAGAGGTATGTTAAAACAGAATAAAAAAGCTAAGGATGATTTTTCCCTCTTTCTCTATTTTCTAAATGGTTTCAAAGTTTGTGAAATTGCTTTAGTGATAGGAAAATGAAGTTATAAAACTTAAAAAGACAAGGGTATCTCTTCTCTGAAAAAATATCTAAGTCAAAGAGAAACAAAGTAACTTTCTAAATTTGGGATCGAGAGGATGGCATCTAACGTCCCTTTTTTGGTGGTGGTGGGGGCTGTATAATGGTGTGGGGGGCTCTGGGGGGGGGGGGGGGGGGGGAGTATATAGGAAGTCCGAGGCCAGGGGAGGGATGGAACCGAGCAAGGCCACTGTGCTAGGTAAGAAGGTCATAGAGGTGAAAGCAAGGTTCATAACCCAATCTAGAAATCAATACACTCTACGAGGTAATTCTGATCCGTCTAAATTTTAATGTATAATAACAGCATTTCAGTTCCTCCAATTTCCTTAGTCTTACTATTGCTATTCCTGTTTAGATTGTCTCTGTGTTTTCTTTCTTTGATCACAAAAAAATCTATATTTTCAAATTTTTGGTTTTAATTTCATTATCAAAATGAAGTTTTGATATAGTTTAGAGTTATGCTTTTCTGTATTTCTTCTTAGCCATAGCACATTAGAAAAGATGCTTAAGTTTTTCATATTTATGTCCTCAGTGGAAGAATCACTGGGATAAATAGAAAAGAGAAATGAAGAATTGGGCACCATGAGTTTTTAAGTTCAAGGAAACTATTGAACATTTTATAAAGATTGATTCCCAGTACATTTGCGTTTGACTGACAGAGATGCTATTATGAAACCAAAGGTCAAGAATGCCGATACCAAAACATTACTTTAAACCTTCCTTGTTTTTCTGATTTACCAACAAGCCTCACTTAGATCTTTAATCTCATACATTCTCCCTGAAGAGAAAGCAAACATGACAGCCTGCATAGGAAACTACGAACAGAAAGAGCAAAACCGGCACCTTGTTGAGCAATGCTGCATGTTGGATCTCTCAGGACTGAGTGCTGTTGGTGACATGATACCTGCTCTGACACATCTTTTTCTTCCCAGGTTCATGTCCTCTGACTTCCCTCCAAGTACCTTCCTGCAGTCACTTCTCAATGAAGCAGCTGGCACACATGTCTTTGGGGGTGGCATATCTGCAGATCTATAACCAGCCCCTCAAATGCATATGCACATCGAGGATCACAAGGCACATTATCGCAGATACATGGTAGAAGTAATACAGAAGGTAATTGAGCATCAACTATTTCATCAGTTCTTAGCCCTAACTGGGCAGCATCCAGCCATATGGAAGCTCCGCTAGAACTTAGAAGATGAATTCAGCACACCCGATCTTACCTTACAGCCTGGGATATTCCAGCTCAGCCTCACGGGTATGTCTTCCCACTGGATGAAGAAATGGTATTAGCTTCCAACTTGCATGAAAGGCAAAAATTACAGCCTGGTGGTTTAAATGACTCCCCATTGATTCATAGTGAGTGGCATTATTGGAGGTGTGGCCATGTTGGAGAAAGTGTGTTGCTGGGGGCTGGGCCTTGGGGTTTCAGAAGTTCAAGCCCAGCCCAGTGTCTCCTCCAGCTGTCTGGTGATCTGGAGGTAGAACAGCCATGCCATAGTAACTAGCGAACAATGCCTTCTCCCTTCTCAGGGTGTGCCACTTAAGAGTGATTCATAAGCTTTCCTGAAATTTTCCATTGAACATCTGGGTCTACAAGAAAAATGAGCCTGTTCGCTATGAAAAGTCACTTTATTACATCAGTCGATGTAAATCACTAAAAATCACCAAGCCTTCCTGGAGAAGGACTAATTGACCAATGAGAATCCCAAAATGGTCTGTCTTTGTGACCTCCTACAGTGCTTTTGAAATTATCTCACTAAAGACAGAGTTTAGGGAAATGAATACAGTTTCATTAAGAGTTTGCAAGGAAGAGGGTTACAGACTAATAACTTAAAAGACACTACTCAGAGATGCTATCCTAAAACCGGCTTCCTCTATGGCAGGGCATTGAACACCGGGTCAGTAGCTGGCAGTCTGGAGGCAGATAGTAAAGGACTTGGAGGTGGGTTAGGGCAGCAGAGTGCCTATATATCATTAGAGACTGAGAACAGTGGGTCTCCCAATCTGTTAGAGAAGCATCTGTGAATAAGAACTCGTCTGAACATACTGGTAGGCTGCTCACCAACTTAGCATTATGGCATGAGTGACAGATCTTGGTTCTGCCCATTGTACTGGCCTCCAGCAGGGGTTTTTATTCTGTTCTTAGTTTCTGCCCTACCTCAAGACCTGGAAAGTGGCAATATAGCAGATGTTGAGGAATAAAGGCCAGTCTTCTCACCTCACATTGTAAGCTTCAGAGAACCCGCGAAATGAGTTCTAGCACACTGAGCCCTTGTTTGCCTCCTACACTTCATTCTCCTTATCAGGCTTCCCTACATCTGCAAAAGTTCCTCCTAAGAACGCTCAGATCCTATCCCGGGATCTGACTCAGAAAGACCTGACCAAAGGAACTTTCCAAGCCTCAGTGACTTTCAGTGCCGAATTTCATAGATTCCTGTTCCTGTACTGCCCCCAAGAAATAGCCCTGGCCTCTGCTCCACACTGGTTTTACTGATATCTTATTGTTCCCACTCTGATTAAGAGCCTGTGTACTAATTCCAGAGGATGTTGTATCTGCAAACCTCAGAGTTTAGTTCCGAAGTACTACCAAGTGTGTCTCTAACGTTTTAGCTATTTCTGGTCTGAGCTATTGCTGCCAAGTTCCATGAAAATGTGAAACTGCCAGATCATGATGTTCTTGCAAAGCAAGTGGTCCTCCCATAGTATCCCAGCAAATGGCTGAATATTCTTCTTCATAACTGCAATAATTCTACTATCAATGATGATAGCAGTTATGTAGAATACTTACCAAACGTAGACAAGAAGAATTTTTAGTTATCTCACTTAAGCCTTTAAGGTAGGAATAATTAACCCAAATATACCTTGGGGGGAATGTGAAGCAAGAGTCAAGGAACTCCCTAAATTTCATACTAACTACCTTGTGTAGTAGGCTACAGCTAGAGATCTGATCCTCCTAATGTCAAACATGGTTCTAAGCCCATTGTTAGTGTTGTTCTCCATAGGGTATAGTGGGATAAACGTCCTAGCCTTTTGCTCAAGGTGGATGGTAGAGCTGAGCTTACTTCCCAGGAGATGAAAGCCCCTTGGGTTGTATTCCCCCTTTCTTTTTATCTCCATTACCAAGGTCCTCCTTGCCCTTGCTTTAGCAGCCTGTAACTGATTTCCTATCCTTCTGGGCCCACTCTGTCACCCACTTTTTCACCAAATTACTGCTTGATGTGGTTTCAACTGCCATTCCTCCCATTATCCCTCTTTTTTTTCTGAGATTCTGAAATAGAACACACACAATAAAGCATTTATGGGAAGCAGAATTGACTAAAGCAAGCATTTTAGCAACCATTTGTGCAGAAAACAATGTAATAAGTTTCTTTAGCTCTGAGGGTCTTCTCCCTCCTTGAACTCCATTCATATTCACTTCTCTGCTGGCCTCTGTTCCTTCTTCCTACCCAATTATTGCAATTCTCTCCTGTCTTTTATGTGTGTACAGAGGCCAGCCGGCAGCTAGCTTCTGTGCGACAGACACATATCAAAGGCAGTTTTCAAAAGGGCTAGTCTTTCCAAGTCAATGAAATTCTTGAATCTGCTGCTAAGATGATAAGCACTTTCTCTTATGTGACAAGTTTAAAGTTGAGGAGAACCATCAGTAATGGATAGAAAGGGCAGCCATTTCTACCATTGTTCCTGCCCTAGAAAATGCATACAAGGAGTGTATGTATTTTCAGGAAGCCACAAGAGAAGAAACTGTCATCTTTTGAAGTGCTTCATGTACTAAAAAGTATTAAGAAATGCAAGCAAAGTTTAAAAATTGAGCCACATGGATAAGTTTATATTGAAAAAAATCAACCCCTTTATCACATATGTAGCACACCCATCCACAAATTCCCAAAAATACAATGGTCCTACCAACAACCTAGATGTAGGATTTAATGTGGCTCAAAAACGTTTGGCTGAAGGTGTACCTCAATGTTACAGAATATTTCCAAGAATGTCATGAATTTAATCCTCATTGTCTAGTTGTAATTAATTTTATCATAATGTCTAAACTATACCATAAATGAATGTATTTTCACCTACACATCTCTTGAATTGCTTATAATTTCATTTGAATAATGGCATGTAAATCTAAATGCAAGAGTCTCCCTCCAATACGAAAATTCCTCTCTCCTATTCTCACCTCACAGGCAAGAGTCCCTGAATAAAAAGCAGAGAAACAGATAGAGCAGTTGTTTTCAACTATCTAATGCTGAGATCTTTTAATATAGTTCCTCATGTTCTGGTGACCCCAACTATAATTATTTTCATTGCTACTTCATAACTGTAAATTTGCTACTGTTATGAATTATAATGTAAATATCTGATATTTCGGATGGTCTTAGGAGGATCCTGTGAAAGAGTCATTCAATCCCCATCAGGGTCACAACCCACAAGTTGAGAACTACTTGGCTAGACCAATCTTCTTTAAATAAATATATCCCTAGTGCATGCAACAATTAGCACATGAGAATATAGATTAACATATAAGTACCTGCAGGCAAACAGTATACATATAAAGACAGTATATAAAATGTATGTGTGTGTGTGTGTGTGTGTGTGTGTGTGTGTGTGTGTGAATAGAAAGAAAGAATGGCAATGAGGAAAAACAAACAACCTGGATGAATAAGTGGAGAGACGAATGTAAATGGATCAATTGCTTGCAAACATGTCCCTAAGCAATGAATCAGTCTGTACAAATATTGCTTTTATTTAACTGTGTAAACAAAGAAACTTTAAAACTCTCCAATAAGTAGAGTGTCATGCTGTGTGTACTGCACATGTTTGCAGAATCAAATAAATTTTGAAGGGGAACAGAGACTGTTTCTGACATGAACTCAGTGGCTGGCTCTTTGATCACCTCCCCCTGATGGCAGAGCAGTATTGCCAGGCTACAGAGGAGGACAAGGCAGCCAGTCCTGATGAGACCTGATAGTCTAGGTTCAAGTGGAAGGTGAGGAGGACCTCCGCTATCAGAGGGACATGGAAGGAGATGAAGGAGACAGAGTAGGATTGGGAGGGAAATAGGGAGGGGGCTACAGCTGGGATACAAAGTGAATAAACTGTAATTAATATAAAAAATAAAAATATAAAAAGAAAGAAAACATTCTACAGTGTATGATCCAGACTGTATGATATTCTATAGCTGATGAGATTGCATAAAATATTTAGACCTGAATAAAAATTGCCACCGATAACCAAAGCAATTGTGACTTAACCCTCTGCAATGGAGCTCTGCTTAATAGGAGACTAGAATACACTTAAGTTTATAAAACCAAAAGGCATCAGTGCCTTGCAGTAAAAAAAATAAAATAAAATCTAAAATCGTGTATACCATTCCTTTATCTTCCCTTGGCTAGACTTGGCAAAGCTTCTTAGACATGTGATATAGTAGATGGACTTCAAAAATAATAGACACTAACTGCTTTCCTCCTGTATCCTCATATATCAGATCAAGATCTGAAGCCCAATTCTCCTTCCCTTAAACCTGAGTCAATTAACTTTCATGACATGTGGCATCCTAGAAATTTGAAGCTACCTTTTGGAGATTCCTCTCTATTTTGTGTGTGCATGTGTTATCACAGAAAGAAGCTAATTACAGTTTTTCTAACCTGTAGTCGACATGAAGTCAACCCCACTGCAAGTATCAACTTCCAGCTATGGGAATGAACCCAACAGGATTCTAGGCCTAAGTGCTGCTTGCCTGCTGACTAAGCCCTTTTACGTTCATGGGTATAGACTATGGGTAGGCAAGAAGCTCTTTCTATACTAGTCAGTGGCAGCATTGTTATTCTTGGTTGTTTGATGGCATTAAGTAATGACAGCAGTAGGCCTGTGGAAAAAGTGGCAACCAGTGGCTCCTTCTACTGATCTCTTCTAGAACTTGGGTAGCTGGACTCTTAGCTCTTTATATGTCGTAGCTCTTATGTAGGCTGAGCATCGGTTGCAGCTGTCATTTCAGGCCCAGGTGAGTGTAGGTGCCGGGATTACTGCCTTAACTAGCCAATGCTTTATCACTTGCCTAGGCCTAGGAAGTCTAGAATCTTAAAACCTTAGAGTTCCAGAGCTACAGTTCTTGGTCCAGCATGTATGAGACATTGGCTATGCAGTTAGATATTCTTCCAATAAGCAGTACCTTCAATTATTCTTCTCTGCATCTTTATGTCTCTCTTTACTATGAACTCTCCACTGTCTGCTGTCATCTCTTCTTCCACCAACCTTCTTATTCTGGCACAGGATGCTCTAGAATTGTCTGAGCACTTCTCTTTCAGCTGCCAAGCAGCAGCTAGCATGCTGTTTCACAGCCTGTCCTGCTGACTGCTCAGCTGTCCCTGCCACCGCCATCATTGCTACTTGCTCTCTTTGTTGTTTATTTATTTGTATTACCATCTTAACCTACAATACTGAAAGAAAATGGAAAAGGGGCCACTCAAGACAACATCGCAACAGCAGTGGAGGCAGCATAGAAGGGCCCCTGAAATGGCTTCCAGAGTGAGGCTGAGTGTTCAGCATATCCAGAGAGAGAAGCATCATTTGGGCCAGTCACAACACTCCTCACATTCAAGTGTAAGCTGGTGTTTGAATCAGTCACAGCGTAGTTCTATTAAGACACCCAGGAAAGTGTCCCCACTCTGGTTTAGGTAGAAATGATGAAGGGTCCCCTACAGCTCACAGAGGCACACCTAACTGGCCTGGTGCTTTCAATAGAGTTTTAAAAACTTTATTAGCACTAACAATGACTTGTATAGGCTTGCATTTAATTTTTTTTTAAATCTTTATTTATATGTATGTGATTGTCCCGTGTACCAGAGCCTGTGGAAACTAGATGAGTACATCAGATGCCCCAAAGATGAGCCATCTTTCCAGTCTGTGATTTTAACACTTTTAACAGTGATTAGGTTCTCCTCAGTGTCCCAGAGAGAGGTATCCCTCCTTTATTCTTCACTGGTCTCACAAATAGGCCTTCAGATGTCCCCCTTACTACAGTATCTTGAAAAACCCAAAGTGACAACCACCCAACAAAAAGCCCGGTCAACCCACAGATCCATAAAAGGATAGAAACACAGACATTTCAGATTATTGCCTTCCCCAGTAAGTGCTGTGTAGACTGTTACACAGTAGGAGATAAAACAAAGAGTGAACAGAAAGGCAGACAGAGTGTCCCTACACAGTCACATCACATTTATGAATGGGATCTACCTTATAACAAAATGAATGTCAACAGGATCTCACCAACATACCTGTCTTTTCTGCCAGCCACACTGCTACACATACTATGCTCGCTTAAGCAACATCCATTTTGAACATTCAAATGGCAGAGAAACGCTTAAAGAAATGTTCAATGTCCTTAGTCATTGGGGAAATGCAAATCAAAATGGCTCTGAAATTTCACCTTACACCCATCAGAATGACTAACATCAAAAACTAAAGTGACAATATATTCTGGAGAGGATGTGGAGAAAGGGGAACCCTCCTCCACTGATGGTGGGAATGTAAACTTGTACAACCACTTTGGAAATCAATTTGGCATTTTCTCAGAAAATTGGGAATAGTGCTTTCTCAAGATCCAGCTATACCACTCCTAGGCCTATATCCAAAAGTTGCTCAACTATACAACAAGGACATTTGCTCAACCATGTTTGTAGTAGCTTTATTTGTAATAGCCAGAACATGGAAACAGCCCAGATGTCCCTCAACTGAGGAATGGATACAGAAATTGTGGTACATTTACACAATGGAATACTACTCAGCAATTAAAAACAAGGAAATCCTGAATTTGCAGGCAAATGGTGGGAACTAGAAAAGATCATCCTGATTGAGATATCCTAGAATCAGAAACACACACATGGTATATCCCTTGAGTTTTTTATCTTAGTCTTTCTGCTGGGTGTGAGGTGAAATCTCAGGGTTGTTTTGATTTACATTTCCAGAGTGATGTTGAGCATTTATTTAAGTGTTTCTCTGCCATTTTATATTCCTCTGTTGAGAATTCTATGTTTAGCTCTGTACCCCATTTTTTAATTGGATTACTTGGTTTGTTGGTGTTTAAGGTCTTCTGTTCCTTATATATTCTGAGTATTAGCCCTCAGTGAGATGTAGGGTTGGTGAAGATCTTTTCCCAGTCTGTAGGAAGATGCTTAATACTTATTCAGAAGGGCAAACAGGATAGACATCAGAAGGAGAAGGCAAGGAACACGACAGGAGCCTTTCACAGAGGACCTCTGAAAGACTCTACCCACGAGGGTATCAAAGGAGATATTGAGACTCGTAGTCAAACTTTGGGTAGAGTGCCAGAATCCTTATGGAAGAGGGAGACAGAAAGACTTGGAAGGGACAGGAACTCCATAAGGAGAACAACAGAGCAGAGGCCTATACTCCAACCAAGAACCATGCATGGAGAGGGCATAGACCCCCTGTTCAGAGGAAGCCCATTAGCTGCTCCTTTTCCAAATGGGGTCCCTAGTAATGGGAATAGGGGCTGTCTCTGACAGGAACTCAGTGGCTGGTTCTTTGATTATCTTCCCCTGTGAAGCCACTGAGGAAGATGATGCAGCCAGCCTTGATGAGACCTGTTAGGCTAGGGTCAGATAGAAGGGAGGAGGTCCTCTCCTATCAGGGGATTAGAGAAAGGACAAAGGGGGAGAAGAGGGAGGGTGGGTGGGACTGTGAGGAGACGAGGGAGGGGGCTGCAGTGGGGATATAAATTAAACAAATTGAAATGAATAAATATCTAAATAAATTTAAATTAAAAAATAAAAAGAACTCTTCAAAAAAGAGACAAAGAAAGAAAGAAAGAAAGAAAGAAAGAAAGAAAGAAAGAAAGAAAGAAAGAAAGAAAGGAAAACTGACAACATCATCCAGGGTGGTCAGGTCAACGCAGGACTAAGTTGTGAAGATCCTAAGTATTTTAAATTACTTGATAATTTTTAAAATCTGCCCTCATTTTACCAAGCAATGAGGCTGCTATTTTACATGTGAGTGGCTATAGGAGATAAGTGATCGCCCAACAGCAGAAATTCTTCAGTTGCTAGATGCAAAATTATTTTTGCATCAATTAAGCTCACATTATTTAATCCATTGCAATGTTGTGTATTGTCTATTGATAGAAGATACAAAGAGCCATTCATTTACACACTCAGCAACCCATAGAAACACTAAACTGGAAATCATAATATAGGCCCGGAGGATCTGATGCAGACTCATACAAGCCCTGTACATGCTGCTTTAGTTTCTGTGAATTCATACGAGCTAATCTAGATGACCAGGTTTTCTTAGTATCCTCCAGTCCCCCTGGCTCTAACATTCTTTCCAAATCCTCTTCCATGGTTCCTGAGTTCTGAGGGGAGAAATTTAATGGAGGCATCCTATACAGAGCTAGTGTTCCAAGGTCTCTCACCTTCTCTCTAATATCCAGCTGTGGGTCCCTCTGTTCCTGTCTACTCTTGGAAGAAGCTTCTCTGATGATGGCGGAGCAAGGTGCTGATCTGTAAGTAGAGCAGAATATCATTAGGAATCATTTTGGCACTGCATTTCTTTGTTTGTTCTTTTCTTTTGACCAGTATTATTTGGTTTTGCCCTAGGTCTCTGGGCTATCTAGTCTCAGGTTCTTTGGTCATTCAAAGTGTCACATACAGATTCCATATTGTGTAATGGGCCTTAAGTCAAGTCTGTTATTGGTTGGTTACTGCCACAAATACATATATTTTAATATGTATATATACACACACACATATACAATAGACAAATTAATCTCTATATGTTATCTATTTATCTCTCTCTGTCTCTCTCTCTCTAACTATATTTCTATATCTATATCTATCCATAAATTTTCTCAATTCATTTCTTTAAAGAACTCTGATTAATGTATCTGGGACAAGCAAAAGAGCCTTTGAGCAGTTCATAGCTATACTTAGACAACCTCTGATTGGGGAAAAATGAAACCTTATGCATAGAATATAGAGTATCATGAGAAACTTATGGAATTTCATAAATAATAACAACTGCTTTTTCAAATATGACTTTGCTAGTACTCAGTTAAACACAGCTAAGGAAGTGTCTTTATTCCAGGATTTCTTGGATCTTTTAATATGTGATTAATACCAAAATATGGATGAGTATGCCACATTTCTTAAACCCATTTTCTAAAATTAAAGTTATTATGTTCAGTATTATCTTAAGGGGCTAGGGCCTCTTCCAGAGAAAGTCTTAGAAACACACTCTCATTCCCACGGCAAACAATTAGGGGCTTAATAAAATCACTGAGGGTTTTCTGTGAAAAACTGAGAAGGCTAAGGCGTCACCTTTAAGTCCAGCATGCAGTGTAATGTCCAGTGTGGTCCTGCTATGAGTTCTTCAAGATGGCTGTGAAGCCTGTCTATTCAAAGAGAAGGCTTTGAGGCACCTGCTGATTTCTTATGGGTGGTGGCTTGATGCAGAGATCAGACCAAATTAGCAGCCTTTGGACTAGAGATTCACCTGCTGTCAATCTGAAAAATAACCTCACTAACCAGAAGGTTGCCAAAAACCTTTATAGTTGTCATAATTTTCTTTTAAAATATGCGTGAAAAAATTAAAATAGAAACTAATAAAATGACATTTTTACACTAACATGTAACGTTCTGTTAACATAAAATATTTAGATTAATTGGCTAAGATGGGAAATTTTGGTGACATTAGCTTTTGTTGCTTGAGGCACGTCTGAACTCATTTTGGGGGATTGCTGATATATTAGGCTACCAAGAGCTTTCCCCCCTTTGCTTGCAGCTCTTCATTTTCTCGTTCAGGTTACAGAAAAATAGAAAGAACATAAGTCCATATTGCCACTCAGCTATTCGCTAATGATGTGGCTTTAGGAAATTCATTTAGCTTCACTGAACTTGTTAGTTCTCTGCAAAAGTAAAGTGGTAAAATTAAATGACATAATATAAGTTGCTTTTCCGCCCTGCCACAGACAGAGGAGGTGATTAAAAATGATTTATTTTCTCTCTGCTTGCTGTTTTCCGTTCCCTGTTGTCTAATGAACGCTACATCCCAAGGCTGCCGAGCACAGCACATTTTGAGCACCACAAAAGATCAACACTATGCTTATGAGCCATAATATGAGATACTAAGCAGATATCACCTTGGCAATGGAGGTTGGGTTTTCTATGTTTACAGGAACAGGTTGAAGCTTTGTTAAGATTCAAAAATGTGTAATCCCAAGCATGAGAAGCTGAGCTTTCGAAGTGTAAGTTGTAAGGAGAGAGGTCTCTGCGAAGCTCCTCTCTCAGGCCTGAGACTATATCTGTGAGCTACAAATATCATAAAGGCTCACTGCAGTCTTTGAGAACCCCCTTTGTCCTTTCTTGTCCCTTGGGCCTTCCTGACAGTGCCCTCTGTTGGAAGGCAGAAGCAAGGTTGCAGTCAACAAGCTCTCCTGTGCCTCTTTTAGCAACTCTATACCACGTTTTAAAATCACATGCTTTTTTTAAATTTTTATATCTCTGACTCTATGAAAGCTCAATCAGGGAAATGTAATGTACCCAAATAAATGTCAACAGTGCCTCCAGAACTGATTGCTGCATAGCTAATTTATTTTCAGTGACCATGATGAGAAAACTTTGCCCAGAATCCATTCCAGAAGAAATATGGAATCTAAGCAAAACATCAGCAAAGTGTGAGACATGTTCCTAAGAAATGCACCACCACAAAAATACTAGGAACAGGTGATAACAAGGGACCTTGGTTACATTTTAAAGATCAGATCATTCTTATGTTTATGACTTTTACATTTGTTTGAAGCATAGCGAAAGAAAATTCAAAATTTTTTCTCCTTTGGAAATACTATAACAGTGCTACAAAAACCTTTAATGTTGAAGATCTTAGATCAGTCTTAAGAGATAGCACAAAACTCCTAGCAAATTATGAGTAAGTGAAAAGTAGAAATGCAGTAAATACCACACACAATGACAACACAGTATTCAATCAATTCAAGATACTAATAATTGTGAATTTATCAATTTAACTACCATATAAAAACAAATGAGTATTTACATAAATGTATTGATTGGCATATACAAATCAAAATTGCTCCTTATTGAGAAAAACAACTCTAAAGTAGGAATAAATCAGTGTTCTAAAATAAAAATGGTGATAATTCAAAACCAGCACTAACTTTATTAAGGAAACATTAATAGGGATTCTCATTAATGTCACGAATATAATCAGAATATTTTTACTGACATTTTTACATAGTACTGCTCTAGGAATACCAACTAACCCAATCAAACAAAAGAGCATTGGAAGAAAATAAGAAATAAAGTATCCATGTGTAGATATTAGAGTGTAAAACTTTAAAAAATTAATTCCTACCACAACCAATTTACAAATTCAAAAGATATCTAGATGCAAAGGTAATACATACAAAACTTGTAACCGCCATAGGCTATGTCAGAAGAAAACAGAATGTAACCACAAACAGCATATGAAATAGCAATATGAAAATGTTACACAGATAAACTCAACAAAAATATTCATAGTTTATTAGTGAAAATTTGTATTAAAAAATAAATGAAAAAATAATTTATCACCACAAAGCTACTAAGCACTACTGGGTTAGTTGTAAACTGACACTATTATAAATTAAAAAACAAAACAAGTAATAGAATATTCAGAACTACATAAATTCACTCTAGACTGTACATAGAAAAATAAACAAGCAAAAGTAACGTTGAATACTAAGAAGGAAATGATAGGAGGAAAAGCTAGGCCAAGTAATCATACAGCCAGCCATAGTAATTTAAATAATGTGGCTTGTGATAACAGACCACAAGAGAAGTCCAGAAATATGCATAAACAAACAACAATTAAACATAAAAGTTATTTCAGTTCAGAGGCAGGAAAACAGAGGCTTTTTCAGGAAACATGACAGAATCGTGTACTAGACTTCTAGTTTCTAGAATTCTACACATATAAAATTACACATATAAAATTATACATGAAATAACATATTAGATGTAATTTAATAGATATATATCAAGCTATACATTAACATTAAAATTGATTTTAAAAACTTATATCACATAAAATAAAATGTAACTAAAACTATTTTTATGTATTTTTTTTTTGCTTTTGTGAACATTTTTACTATCACTTATTACAATTTATTCTGTTTGTATCCTAGCTATGGTGCTCTCTCTTCTCCCAATACCACCCTCTATCCCTCTTCTCCTGCTTTGTCCTTCCCCTAGTCCACTGACAGGGGAGGTCCTCCTCCCCTTCCATCTGACCCTAGCTTATCAGTTCTCATCAGGACTGGTTGCATTGTCTTCTTCTGTGGATTGGCAAGGCTATACTCCTCTCAGGGGGAGGTGATCAAAGAGCCTGTCACTAAGTTCATGCCAGAGACAGCCCCTGCATCCCTTACTAGGGACCCACTTGAAGACTGAGTCTATGAGCTACATCTGAACCATGATTTTAGATCCTCTCCATGCATTGTCCTTGGTTGGGGTATCATTCCCTTTAGGGCCCCAGGATTCAGATTTTTTGGCTCTGTTGGTCTCCTTTTGGAGCTCCTGACTCCTCCAGATCTTTTTGTCTCCCCCTTCTTCCATAAGACTCCCTGCACTCTGCCCAAAGTTTGGCTATGAGTCTCAGCCTCTGATTTGATACCTTGATCAACAGAGTCTTTCAGAGGCCCTCTGTGGTAGGCTCCTGTCCTGTTGCCTGTCATCTCCTGCTTCCAATGTCTATCGTGTTTGTCCTTCTGAAATAGGATTGAGCATCTTCTCTAGGGTCTTCCTTCTTGTTTAGCTTCTTTAGGAGTATAGATTTTAGTATGTTTTTCCTATATTATATGGCTAATATCCACTTATGAGTGAATATATACCATGTGTGTCTTTCTGCTTCGGGGTTACCTCACTCAAGATATTTTCTAATTCCACCATTTGCCTGCATATTTCATAATTTCCTTGTTTTTAATAGCTGAGTAGTATTCCATTATCTAAATGTACTATAATTTCTATATCCATTCCTCTATTGCGTGACATCTAAGTTGTTTTGAGATTCTGGCTATTACAAATAAAGCTGCTATGAACATAGATGGGAAATGTCCTTATTGAATGGTGGGGCATCTTTTGGGTATATGCCTAGGAGTGGTATAGCTGGATCTTGAGGAAGCGCTATTCCTAATTGTCTGAGAAAGCGCCAGATAGATTTCCAAAGTGGTTGTACAAGTTTACATTCCCACCATCAGTGGAGGAGGGTTCCCCTTTCTCCACACCCTCTCCAGCATGTGTTCTCACTTGAGTTTTTGATCTTAGCCATTCTGATGGGTGTAGGGTGAAATCTCTGGGTTGTTTTGATTTGCATCTTCCTGATGACTGAGGATGTTAAACATTTAAGTGTTTCTCTGCCATTCAATATTCCTTTATTGAGAATGCTCTGTTTAGTTCTCTACCCTATTTTTAATTGGATTACTTGG